CAGCATCGAGACAACATCGGCAGCAGCAGCGACAACATCGGCAGCAGCAAAGGCAACACCGACTACGACACCAATCGCGGGTCCTTCAACGACACCAGTTCTCATCGACGATACTCCACCGACTCCTGCGCAGCAGTTGACTCCCACTCCACGCAAAGTTCACAGAAGCGCCAACCTCACCGCGGGATTTTACTCCAACTCCAATCTGTACAGGCGATCACCCAGACATCGCGCCAGCGAATCAATCTGGCACGCAAGGATGGGACACCCGAGCAACACAACATTAAGCAACACGATAAGAGCTGGAGTACTCGACAAAGACTCACTGCTACTACACGACGGCAGAGAACTTCAACGAGTTCGCAGAACATGTTTTACCTGCCGTGAAGCCGACTTACCCCATCAGCCGTTCGTCTCTCACCACAACCCGAACGCACCTGCATACACACCACTGGAGAAGGTTTACAGTGACATAACTGTTCAACCGTGAAAGCGGACAAGGAGCCTACAACTACATCATCACGTTCATAGACGCCGCCACCCGATACGTCTGGCACCTCAACCTTCCGAGCCGCGACATGGCTTTTGAAGCTTTCGTCACCTGGCTCCAGTAGCAGAAAGGGAATCAGGAGTGAAGCTGAAAATCTTCTAGTCAGACGGAAGAGGAAAATATCAGTCACAACGATTCACGTAGTACTTGGCAGAGAGAGGCATCAAGCGACTCATCTCGCTTCCCTACGCTCATCAGCAACAAGGCGTGGCAGAAAGAATGAACAGGATGTCAAGAATAATATATATAATTCTATATATTGTTTTTTGTAACTGCCTGTAGTGTAGACTACTGTAGTTATATAATGTTCTGTTTTGGTGGTGCACCTTTCTTCTTGCCTATTTGTACTCCTCGCTCTATAGTGAAACCCCTCTTTTTGTTCAAACTTTCTCGACCTTTCCTAAACTCACTCGAGCTCGATCTCTCTCCCAACTTACCATGGCTCATAAGCCTACCACTCCTAAGTCTTAATTTCACACAGGACCCTCCTGAACACCATGCGCAAGCTGCTACGTGGCATGCGGCTACCCAACCACCAGTGGCCCAAGGTGATGGATCACGCTGTCATGCTGCACAACTCTCGTCATCATCACTCCCGAACAACGCATCACCGCATCTCCTGTGGACAGGAAAATTGGGCAGCACAAAAATGTTACGAATGTTTGGCTGCATGGTACAGTACCGACCCCCAGCTGCACGAGCCGGATGATTCTCCCAACGCACACAGTGGGGGCTACACCTGGGCATCGAAAAACACTACAACGCATGGAAGATTTTTTACGTCCACACAAAGGAAACAATAGCAGCACGTGATGTCATTTTCTACGAATGACTCACACTTGAGACGTACCTGGACAACCTGGAAGCTGAACGAGATGTCACGGGCGGATTTTGAGGGGACCGAGCCTTTGCTTCGGTAGCAGATGAAGCTGACTGGGACGAGCAGAACGTGGAGGAGCTTCGGAGGAAGCCGGACCTCTCCCATACTGCTCAGTGGACATTCCCATGGATGACAACAACCCTTGCGAAAGTGTTAACGCCGAAGTCTACTACGACTTCGCCGACAACGGTTACGTTACCCCCCAGCCGGTCGACACCAACGTCTCCGAACGCATAGGGCCCAACTTCCACCCTGATCCACAAGTGGGAGATGAAGCAGCTTATGCCGAGGACGCAAACCTTCCCCGCAACACACAGAGTGGGCTGCAGATACTCAGACTCGTCACCGCCGTCCACGGAGCAGCACCACCTAAGGAGCCTGCCACAATTCAGCAGGCTCTGGGGGGGGGAACACAAGGAAAAATGGCGCCTGGCTATGGACAAGGAATTAAAGGTGCTGGAAAAACGCAACATCTGGAAGGTCGTACCCATCGGAGTGGCACCAAGACAATACTCACCGGGAAGTGGGTTTTCCACATGAAAACAAAGGCAGATGGAACCATCGACAAGTTTAAAGCACGCTGGGTCATACGCGGTTTCGACCAAGAGCACGAACGAGACTTCATCAAAACATTCGCGCGGGTCAGCCGACACACGTCACTGTGGATTCTCCTCGCGATAGCTGCCATGAAGCGAAAGAAGCTCCGACAAATCGATGTCGCCAACGCCTTTCTCTACACTCCCGTTGATGCTAAGATTTTCGTCGAGCAACCGCATGGCTCTAACGCAGACCCTAATCATGTCAGTCAGTTGCTGAAATCCATGTACAGTATCAAGCAAGCTCCAAGGCTGTGGCAGCAGTACCTACACGCCCGACTAATCCGCATCGGATTCCGCCAACTACGGCACGAACAAGGCATGTACCAACTCACGAAAGGCACCGACTACATCCTGCTGATCGTCTACGTGGACGATCTGCTCTACATCGGCTCGACCGACGGCATCACGATCTGGTTCGAAGGGGAGCTGCAGCGGGATCTCACACTCACCGTCTCCTCCACCGTAACACAGTATCTCGGGCTCAACATACAAGAAGGAGAGAACGCGATCTACCTCAGCGCCGCGAAATACGCCGACACCATCGCCAAGCGCTTCGGACTTACCCCAGCCGCTATCTCTATGCGATACTGCTACACCGCCGGAAATCACAAGGAAACAACAGCTCCGCTCAAACCCGCCGGCATACGCGATGATCAACAAAAGTTGGGATGCCTACTCTTCGCAACCGTCACCTGCCGGCCGGACCTATCATACTCAGCGAGCCAACTCTCGAGCTACCTACCTCAAGAAGCTTGAAGCAGAACACATGGCGGAGCTCGACCGCGCACTTCACTACCTCGTCAGTGTAGTAAAGGACTCTCCTCTACTTTGCAGGAAGTGGGAATTGTTCTAATCAGTAGATCACTCTGTTAGCTTTCCAACGAGCCGTAGATCATCTCGATCGCCTAAGTAACGAGGGAGTTTTAGGCGTTCATGCGCTTGCTAGTGCTCCTAGGACAAAGGGTAGGAGCTCTCTGGATTTTGTAGTCTAGTGTATCACATACAAAGTGATTCTCGATTTCAGTATGAAACATGCAATACAAAGCAAACAGATTTATAGCATGCAATCAACATCGAGTCGCACAAGTAACCTCGAACCGCGGTACACTCGCGAATGTTCGAGTAACATTTCGAAGGGGTGAAATTCGACACTCGAATTTCACCGAACCGAATGTCACTTCAATCTTGAATGTTCCTGGTGCTGCCATGTGGCACCGAACTGCAGGTCTTCCGAAGTCAACCTGCAACTTCACGAAACCTGCAGTGAAGTCAATCAGAAGCAACACATTCGGTGGGTTTGGGGCATATCAATCTCCCCACCCCCGTTTCCCTCTAACACACGCAACTGTCAGAATCCCAACCACTAGACCATTGGGATAAAAGGGGCTTGTTTGTGTAGCGGGTGAGTGCGCCCATAACCCCCCAGGCCAACGTGCGTGTAACCCTTCCCTAAGATCAATCGGGGATCACCAGTGGACCTCTTACAGCAACTTATAACAGTCAACACCATGACAATCGGCCTGACCTACCACAAAACCGAAACCATGACGCCCAAGCTAATCGGCTACGTGGATGCCGACCACGCCGGCGACTCCGACAACAGGCGTTCGCGCACCGGCTACATCTACCGACTCGAGCCTATCGGGCCCATCTCGTGGCAGTCGAGCAATCAGGAACCAATCGCCCTCTCCTCAGTTGAAGCAGAATATATTGCACTCTGCTCGGCCACCAAGGAAGGACTGTACCTTTGCGAACTGCTGGAAGAAGCGAAGCTGGCCCAGTTACCCAACTTCTCCCTGTTTTGCGACAACCAATCTGCAATTCGCATAGCGAACAAGAACGGGTCCGCGAACCGGATGAAGCATATTGCCCTGCGATACTTCTTCGTGAAAGACGAGATCGAGAAGGGGAGACTCGAGCTATCCTACTGCCCCACGTCCGAGATGGCAGCCGATTATTTGACAAAGAAGCTCGGAAAGCATAAGTTCGAGTACTGTATCCTGCTGACTGGACAAGGCCACGTCACCAGCAATGACACTCCAGAAGCGGATGGGAGTGTTGGAAACAAGTTATTTAACGCTTACTATGTGTCGTAACATCAAACTGTAAACGAGGCAGCAGAGCAATGGCGAGTCAACCAAGGAGGTTGACAGAAAAGTAACAGCCGGAGGTTACGAGAAGGTCAAAGGTCAACGACCTTTGACTCGACAAATACAGCGCGACAGCAAGGACAAACAACAGACTCGATATTGAGCAATTGCCCGAGTCGTCACTGTATCGAACCGCAACAGCAACAATAAAACAGTTATTGCATCCTTTCATATTCCTTAAAATCTTATAAAAGCTTGCATTACTTTTTTATAATCAATCTATCTTGCCCTCACATACCAGCGCAAGGTGGTTCAACAGTCTATCATTAAACGCTTCCGCAATTACAACATCTCTATCAGAGTCTTAGCCTTGAAAAGATCCTAAGGGCTTTTCTCAGCCCAACTGTCATGCAGGCCGAATTGAAAGGCATGGGGCATTCATGAATTGTGAGCACGATCAGTAGCCTGTGCATCGAGTGCTACTGCTTGCACCCACGCTGGTATGTGTCTCATTAGGCAGGCGCTATGGCGTCTGTGAGCCGATCAGGCTGATGCCTTGGAGGCGAGACTGGAAGCTGGTGCAGTGCAGAAGCCAAACCCCGGTGGCTTGAGGCACCTACGTGCGTGCGTGGTGTGCGGTATGCTGTACCATGCAGCTTGCACCTTCAAGCAGAGGAATCACTGAGGCAGCTGGGAGGCCAAGAGGGTGAGGTCCTGCAGGGTGTGTGTTCAGGCAGTTTGTGACCAAGAGGTCTTGCCGGCTTCACCCTAAACCCTCAACCCGAAATGGAAGCCGGCACACATGCCAAAACTGCCTTGAGGCATCTACATGGGGGGTGTGCTGTGCTGTACAATGTATCGCGTGCCTCCTGGCAGAGGAATCATTGTGGCGGTTGGGACGCCAAGGGGGTGAGGTCCTGCAGGCCAAACTGGAAGCCGGCACACATGCCAAACCCGGCTGGCCGCTCCCACCCGTGTGCCAGCCTGCTGAGATTGAAGTCCCAGCTGCACCCCGACTGGTGGGGGGGAGAAGGGGGAAGCAGGGGGCGGATGGGAGGTGTGTGTGGGGGAAGGGATGGGAAGTGTGTCGTATGCCACGTGTGGACTTGACATGTATGGGGATGTGAGGTGCATGCATGGCAGCACCCTCCCACGGCAGCACCCTCCCACTTCACGTTCCCACCACTGTCACACGGCTCACACTGTCACACGGCTCACACTGCACACGGCTCACACTGCACAGGCTCACTTGCAGGTCCATGCGTAGAGCACCAGCTTACTTACATCTGACACGCCATGCACTCACACTTTGAGGCGTCTCAAGACTCACCCAGTTCACGTTTCCGCCGCCACTGTCGCATGGTTCACACGGCACACGCTCACACACGGGGCCAGGCAAGGAGCACCAGTCCACGTGGTGCATGTTGACGACCGTGAGAAGGAGAGGTGAAGCAACCCTCTGATTGAACCACTCACAAATTTCACGTTGCCGTCACCACCGGTGTCGCATGGTTCACAAGGCATGCGCTTGCAAACAGGGCCCCGCATGGTGCGCCAGGCTACTTGGTGCAACTTGGCCACCGTGAGAATGGGAGGCGCAGCAACCCTCCCATCACACCACCAACCCATCAAACCATCAAACCATCAACCCATCAAACCACCCATCCATCAAACCACCAACCCATCAAACCACTCACCCACTTCACGTTCCCTCCACCAGTGTCACAGGGTTCACAAGGCACGCGCTCGCACACAGGCCCAGGCGAGGAGCGCCAGTCCACGTGGCGCATGTTGACGACCGTGATGGCCATGGAGAATGCTTCCATGCCCGCCAGCCCCGCTGCCACACGGCCGAATGAGGACAGGTGCGTTACGAGCAGGCGGTCACTGGGAGGGATGTAGGGGCGGGGGAGGAGTGGGGATTTAGGGGAGTGATGATTAGGACAGGGGTTGAGTCGACTCAAGGCAAGCCACGTGGCGCATGATCACCATGTGGTGGCCATGGAGAATGCTCCCATGCCCGCCAGCCCCGCTGCTGTACGACCGAACGAGGAGAGGTGTGTTATGAGCAGGCGGTCGCTGGGAGGGAGGTGGGGAGTTAGGGGGGTTGCTGACAAACAGAGCACAGTGCTATATTAGGGCACAGCTTACCAGAAGCACAGCTTACCAGAAGCACAGCTTACCAGAAGCACAGCTTACCAGAAGCTGAGGAGCCAGATTTCGATGACAGTGGCAACGAGGTGCTGCTCTTTCCTGTTCTCCACCTCCTCGCTTGTTAGCCTGGCATGGGACCCGTGTGAGCGGAGGTGAACAACTTGGGAATGATACTGCTGCTATATTTATGAACAACAGCGAACCCAATCCCCCCAATCCCCCCAATCCCCCCAATCCCCCAGGGCGACAAGGCTGTCTTGGTAGGGTGAGGCGGGTGGGTGGGTGGGGTGGGTGGGAACAATAATCCAGGTGGGTCCCCTGCCCAACAGTGTGGGCACAATAATCCAGGTGGGTCCCCTGCCCAACAGTGTGGGCACAATAATCCAGGTGGGTCCCCTGCCCAACAGTGTGGGCACAATAATCCAGGTGGGTCCCCTGCCCAACAGTGTGGGCACAATAATCCAGGTGGGTCCCCTGCCCAACAGTGTGGGCACAATAATCCAGGTGGGTCCCCTGCCCAACAGTGTGGGCACAATAATCCAGGTGGGTCCCCTGCCCAACAGTGTGGGCACAATAATCCAGGTGGGTCCCCTGCCCAACAGTGTGGGCACAATAATCCAGGTGGGTCCCCTGCCCAACAGTGTGGGCACAATAATCCAGGTGGGTCCCCTGCCCAACAGTGTGGGCACAATAATCCAGGTGGGTCCCCTGCCCAACAGTGTGGGCACAATAATCCAGGTGGGTCCCCTGCCCAACAGTGTGGGCACAATAATCCAGGTGGGTCCCCTGCCCAACAGTGTGGGCACAATAATCCAGGTGGGTCCCCTGCCCAACAGTGTGGGCACAATAATCCAGGTGGGTCCCCTGCCCAACAGTGTGGGCACAATAATCCAGGTGGGTCCCCTGCCCAACAGTGTGGGCACAATAATCCAGGTGGGTCCCCTGCCCAACAGTGTGGGCACAATAATCCAGGTGGGTCCCCTGCCCAACAGTGTGGGCACAATAATCCAGGTGGGTCCCCTGCCCAACAGTGTGGGCACAATAATCCAGGTGGGTCCCCTGCCCAACAGTGTGGGCACAATAATCCAGGTGGGTCCCCTGCCCAACAGTGTGGGCACAATAATCCAGGTGGGTCCCCTGCCCAACAGTGTGGGCACAATAATCCAGGTGGGTCCCCTGCCCAACAGTGTGGGCAAATGCACGGCTCAAAATAAATGTGAGAATGCCATAGTATACTCACGACCAGAAGGCAACGAGTGTGTTGCCGATGGGCATTTGCTGCGTGTAGTGCTCCTGCAGCTCCAACATGTGTTGCATCGATAAGGACGACACGAATACCCCCATGGTCATGTGCGGCGCGTGTGAGGGCTCCGTATTGATGGACTCGAGAAGAGCCTGGATAACAACAGCAAGCGACGAGAAGGAAGGGGAGGATGGCATGCCAGGCTTGTGTTTGCAAGAATAACGGGCAGGCTTGTGTTTGCAAGAATAACGGGCAGGCTTGTGTTTGCAAGAATAACGGGCAGGCTTGTGTTTGCAAGAATAACGGGCAGGCTTGTGTTTGCAAGAATAACGGGCAGCCTTGTGTTTGCAAGAATAACGGGCAGCCTTGTGTTTGCAAGAATAACGGGCAGCCTTGTGTTTCATTCTAGCATGTGCTTCATGCTGCTCGAATGCAGGCCAGGTAAGAGGTCACATGCAAGAAACGAGTTTGTGAGTGAGAACAAGCGGGACGAGAGGGAGGTTAGCTATGCTGTCTAGTTCCAAAAGGGTGCAAACTGACGACTTCTGAATGAGAGGAAGGAGGTGCCTCTTCCAAATCAGGGCTTGCATGGTGGCTACGACCCTCAGCATCATCATGTGTGCGTATGGCCGTGTGTGAGGTATTTAGTGAGGGGCAGAAGCCCCAGACTGAAGGATGTGCGCAGAGAGCGAGGGCAACAGCTCACAGTGAAGGCTATAGCACTCCCAGCATGAGCACGCTCACCTGTGAGTACGGCTGTGTGAAAGGCAGGTAACGCGACACTGCAGCCCCGCACTGGAGGATGCGAGCCGAGAGGGGCAGATGAATGCCGTCAGGTGAGCGGATCTGGTATGAAGGGGGGGAGTGAAAACAGATACAGGCACACACGCAAGGCAGGTGAAACAGAAGGGGCAGCAGAGGCTCCCATTCGGGTGGATGCCATGAGGCGAGCAGATCTGGTACCAGGAAGGAGAGCGAAGAAGACACACGAGATAGAACCAAGTCAGTCAGGTGGAGTGGAAGGTGTAGCAGAAATTATCGTTCAAAGGTGGCAGATGGATGAATGTCATCAGCAGACGGGATGTGCCACAGCGGGTGCGAACGCGGCAGACACATATGGGACAACAAGAGAGGTGAAATGGAAGGGGTCGCAAACCACCCTTGACGTAAGTATCGAGATTAGTTTAGATCCGCTTTCTGGTTATTTTCCTACCCTCAGCACATACTAGGTTTTTTTGGGGTTTCAACCCAACCTGCTCTATGATTCCTATGTCATTATTATATTCTTGCCACCTAACGTCCCAGGCTCTCAGGCTGGCTGGCACCTTGGTAGGCTTTAAACCAACCGGGTAGATGGGGCGTTCAGAAAGGAATGATTGCAACCGCAGCATCACATCCCACTGCAACCAAAGCAGCCTCAAACGCCCCACCTACCTGCAGGCCAGAGGGGTGAGAGAAGTGGGTGGGGATGGCATGAAAGGTGAAGCAGTACGCACCTATCATCTGGACACGGAGACTTGTACCACGCCAAGCAGCCTCACACCCCACATGTACTCGAATCAGCCTGCCCCCCCTCCCCCTCTGCCCACCCACCTGCAGGCCGAGGCGGTGGGAGAAGTGGGCGAGGTTGGCATGGAAGGCGGTGGTGATGTGCGCCCACAGCTCGTTGTCCGGATGCATTAAGAGGCGTGCTGCGTGGGTGAAGGCACGACCATCTGGGAACACCTCGCGTAGACGATCCTGTGGTCAGGGGTAATGGAGGGGGGTTTGAGAGGGGAGTGATGGAAGGTGGTGGTGGTGATGTGCGTCCACAGCTCGTTGTCCGGATGCATTGGGAGGCGCGCTGCGTGGGTGAACGCACGGCCATCGGGAAACAACTCACGCAGTCGGTCCTGTGATGGAGGGTGCTTGCATGGACACACGTGGGATGGGTGTCTGAGGGGTGGGCTGTATGGGTGAACACATGACCACTAGCAAAGGTGACACTTCAATCCTGTTGACTTTGGATTGCCTCTAGAGACACCACCTTTCAAAGATCCACAGAAGGCACGACACTGCACGTGAACAGCACATTTCCTACTCACCCACGGACTCAGGGATATAGGGGAGGCTGGGATTGACGTAAGCATCGACTTTTGCAAGAATTTGGGATAAACGCTAGCAACTCACCGCGGCCTCTGGAAAGTAGTGCCTTTTGAGTCATCTCTAATTTCGACCTCTGGCTGGGATGTAGTGCTGACTGGGAATGATGTTCGCATGGATGCTGGGCAGCCATCTCGTAGAAACACATCACATGGCAAGTGCACATCACATCACAACGCATCGCAAGTGCACAGCACATGTCAATCAAACTCACCGCGAACTCTGGAATGTAGTGCAGGCTGGGGATGGTGTAAGAATCGATGCCGGCCAGCCAGAAGGGCGCCACAGCAGCAGTGCTCCACAGGTCGCTGCAGAACATGTTCCACGTCCTGGTGGTTGGAAAGACCGGGTGAGCACGAGGAAGACGGGTGAGCACGAGGAAGACGGGTGAGCACGAGGAAGACGGGTGAGCACGAGGAAGAAGGGTGAGTTTATACAACAGCTGGGTGCACGGCAACAGCACAACCTATTTCCAGTGTGGCGCAGCCGGCATTGCAGCAGCAGTGGTGCACAGGACAGGGCGTTGCGAAACATATACCAGGACCCAATGGTGGGGCAGCACGGAGGCGTAGAAGAGAGCACTGCAGCACCGCTAGGTGCTTGCTGGGAAGTCAAGCCCCTCTCAGAAGAGTGTGGTGTGGTGACAGCACCGGTGCGGTGCACAGGTCAGTGCGAACATGTTGCAGGTCCCAGTGGTGGGGCTGCACGGGTGAAGAGAGGAGGCCTGTGGACGACGCAACGTGCATTGCAACGTGCATTGCAACCTGCGAGCAGTGGTCCTGTACACGACACAGCGGAGTGGAGTGTGCTGCTTCCCAGCTCTCAGTGCATGGAAGGTGGGCTGAACAACGAAAGCAGGATACCTTGTTGCCGACTGAAGAACAGTGGATTGTGGAAGTGAAGCTACTCATTGCGAGGTGCAGCATCAGATGGACAGGAAGAGAAGAGTTCCTTGCTTGGAGGAGCATATATGAAGCTTGTTGATATCGAAATCATGCACGCACCATCCACCACTCACTTGCGACACATGTCCATCCACACCAAGCCGAGTTTTGAGTAGACTCAAAGCTCGTTTCATTCTTGAGTCGAATCAAAACCCACCACTCACCTGCGATACAGGTCCATCCACACGGCGCCTTTGTTGACCACCTGCCGTGGCAGGTCCGTGCGTGCCCCTCCTTGCGTCGCCTTCAGCTGCATAGCCATGGTGGTGAGCAGCAGGCGTGGCTTCTGAAACACTGTGCCCAGAATCAAGCTGCAGTGGGGGACGCATTCAGAAGAAACTAGTGCTTGTCTGTAAAGTTCATAAAAATCTTGTTCTGATACCCGTCCGGGCAGACAGGCAGAATAAATTCACTGTTTGTAGGGTGCTCATGATATTCTGAGCAGCATTTAGTTCAATCAACGGCTATGCCAGTCACCCGTGTCATTCGCAAGGTGTGCCGCACGAACCAATGTGTGCCACAGATGTCAGCATTGAACGATGGCTAATGCGCGGTCAAATGGAGCGAGCGAGAATGTGCATGCAATCCAGAGTGTTGAGTGCAGCCATCCAGAGTGTTGAGTGCAGCCATCCAGAGTGTTGAGTGCAGCCATCCAGAGTGTTGAGTGCAGCCATCCAGAGTGTTGAGTGCAGCCATCCTATGGCTGTCAACGCTGGCGAGAGAGAATTATGCGGGGGAGCGACCTGAGGGGTGGGGGTGAGAGTCGTGAATCTCTGTGAGGGGTGAGAGTGAGAGTCGTGAACCTCTGTGAGGGTGATACGGAGGGACGTACTCATAGGTGTGTGAATCAACGGTCCAGGAGGCGTTGGCGTGGGCGAAGGGGTTGCAGAAGCGGCGGGTGAGGAAGGCAGTCGGTGGTGTGATGATAGCCCGGCGGGTGAGAAGACCCAAGATGAACGCTGTGACGTATGCTGTGATTTTGTTTCCCACGCCTGCAGAATGGATGTGAGAATGATGCCATCGAGTGTACATGACGTGAAAACGGGATGCATTGTGGGAGCTCATCTTGACGTGAGGGCTCATCTTGACGTGAGGGCTCACCTGATTCTACTCGGCCCACCTTCTTTGTCAGGGCTTAAATGAAGCAGTTCTACGTCTCATTCCTAAGAAAGATTTACCTTGCTCAACGCTTGCTGTATCACCAACAGAAAGAATCCTCCTCGTCATTTTAGAATTCACCTCACTGCATCTCCCCTGGCAGACACAGAATGTCGCGGCAATGAAGCAGGTATGCATTGCTAGTAACTCACAGATAGCTCACTCACCCTGTCGCATTGCATGCACTGAGTCGTCTCAAAATTCGCACGGCTCTACTTGTCAGTTCCGCAGCAGAGTGTGGTCAGGCTAGCTCGACCGCGGCATGGCATGGCATGGCATGGCATGATATGGATGCACACAAGGGAGGTATGCACGAACGTCACTTCGTTTCATCTCCTCGTCTCGTTTCATGTCCTTGCCTCGTTTCACCTCCTCGCCTCGTTTCATCTCCTCACCTCGTTTCATGTCTTCTATCACAATGTAGCGGCATGGCTCCCTGTCAGGCCCATGACGTGGCAGGTGCTTGCTCCTGGCACACGACAACAACACAAGGCAAGGGCAGTCAGCATGTGGAGTCAGTCAGCGTGTGCTGTGACCAGTGTGAAGGGGAGGGTGCAATATCCGTCAACCATACAAACATCTCCGACCCTTCCCAATAATAGGCATACCATTTTCCTTTGTTGGCCACCCACGCCCACTGCTCTGCGCCTCCCTGCGCCACGCACTCCCTCTGCATTGCCTCAAAGGCCTCCACTGCACTCAAGAATGCGTTGGAGGGTGGGGCGGTGTTGGCCTGCACGCACATCACAGGTTGACGACAGGTGTCAGAGCACAAGAAATGTGTCAGAGCACAAGAAAGGTGTCAGAGCACAAGAAAGGTGTCAGAGCACAAGAAAGGTGTCAGAGCACAAGAAAGGTGTCAGAGCACAAGAAAGGTGTCAGAGCACAAGAAAGGTGTCAGAGCACAAGAAAGGTGTCAGAGCACAAGAAAGGTGTCAGAGCACAAGAAAGGCGTCAGAGCACAAGAAAGGTGTCAGAGCACAAGAAAGGCGTCAGAGCACAAGAAAGGCGTCAGCGCACAAGAAAGGCGTCAGAGCACAAGAAAGGCGTCAGTGCACAAGAAAGGCGACAGCGCACAAGAAAGGCGTCAGCGCACAAGACTGCACAGCATATGGCATTGCGGTCAGTCGTGCAAGTTGCGGCGCCATACCATGTACCCTACAGATACTACCCCTCTCACGCCATACCATGTTCTACAGATACCCTCTCACGCCATACCATGTTCTACCGATACCCTCTCACACATACCATGTTCTACAGATACCCTCTCACGCCATACCATGTTCTACAGATACCCTCTCACGACATACCATGTTCTACAGATACCCTCTCACGCCATATCGTGTGCTACAGACACCTCTCTCGCGCCATACCATGGTGCTACAGACACCTCTCTCACGCCATACCGTGTGCTAGAGACACATCTCTCACGCCATACCGTGTGCTACAGACACCTCTCTCACGCCATACTGTGTGGTGCAGACACCTCTCTCATGCCATACCGTGTGCTAGAGACACCTCTCTCACGCCATACCGTGTGCTACAGACGCCTCTCTCACGCCATACCGTGTGCTAGAGACACCTCTCTCACGCCATACCGTGTGCTACAGATACCCTCTCACGCCATACCGTGTGGTACAGGTGTCGCTCCTGCTGGCTCCAGCACGAGTCAGCCGTGCGGTACAGCGTGTGGCGCCACGCCACAGATGCATCGAATCTGGACGGCGGATCCGGCAGCTCAAAGCCGCGTCCCATGTTACTCCCGCCACCGCCCCCGTTGCTTTCTAGTACCCTCCCCACTCTTTCGGTGCCTGCTCCTACGCTCATCGCTCCCTCGCTCCCTACGCCGCGTATCCCTGCGTCGTCGCTGCTCAAACCCTCGCCGCGTGCCTGGCCGCTGGGGGGCGTCGCGACGAGAGACAATGCCACCATGAATGTAACTGCGAGCTCGCACCGTTTCCGCCTGTCGAGCTCGAGCGTACCCATGCGCACTAGTGATGATCCGACACGCAATGATCGCTGTGCGAGAGGTGATCAGGGTGCTCAATCCGCTCCGATCTCCTTTGGGAGCTCTTTTCTACTCGGGTTGACCTGAGTCCTCACGTGTCAAGCATCGTCCCGACTTCAACACATTCTACTGTTATCGCAATCGTCGTACTAGGTCGTAAGGCGGCTTCGCCGGCAGATATCATCGGATGTCGCATTCAGAAGTCGCACGTTCAGTATCCGACGCCACATTCTCTATGTAAAACGTCCCGTCGTCGACCTCCTCTGAACATTGCCTCTGGCAAAATTGCCATGAGACCACGATTCCTAATAAACTAACTAGAAATTGCGATGGCCAAACTGACGGACAAGATGGCCTCATACAAAATTCTAACAACCGTTGATTCGGAATCTAATGCTGCTCATGGGTGGATGAAGGGACCAACCGACTCTACTGCTCTGACACAACGCGACTGCTGCTGGTTAGGAGGGACTCGCGATTCGATGGTCTTCAAATTACGCTGGTACAGTGCATGCGAACTATACCACAAATAGAGCAAGTGGGGGTGTTACGGGTGCAATGAATCGAGCGAGAATTGCACTAAGGTGTCAAACGAGTACAAAATGTGAGCGAAGGCATGAGCGAACATTTATACGCGAAACATGCAAACAGTAACGCGGTGCGTGCGAGCTAGCTAGTGCTACGCTGGAAGCGAGGCTCGGCTAGTCCCGAAGCGTAGGCCGACACGGCCGGTCCAGCAGTGTGAGGTTTGGGAAAACAGTGCGCGCGAAGTCGGCGAAGCCCCGTTAGCAGTAACGGGCAAACAACGGGTGCTGCTGTACGCGGTGTTGCAGGGTGCGCTAAGGAATATCGAGAAAATTCTTTACACTACCCCCCCCCCCCTCAAGAAGCCCCCTCCGCTACGCTAGTGCGTGTATATCGCGGAAACCCCGGCTCCTCAGGTACACTTGCAGGGCAGGGTGGTTTTCAATGTTGGCCAGGGGCACCCAGCTATCTTCAGTTGGCATGCGATCCTTCCAGCGAACGAGGAATTCAATCCTCCTGATTCCCATGGGGTGTCGAATCCAATGGCTCAGGATTTTTTCGGGCTCGATGATTGGCTCCGATGCAGGGCGAGTTATCGATGGCGGGCGGTGACGAGGCAGTTGGCTTGTGGTTGGGATGTATGGGCAAAGTAGGCTGACGTGGAACAAAGGGCTGAGATACCAGTCCGTCAGCAACAGGAGGTGGGTAATCATTGAGAAAATATGAACGAGAATGAATGAACTATGAAACAGTTGGGTACAAGTACTAACCCTAATTGGGTTGTACCTGTCAGAATCCCAACCACAAGACCATTGGGATAAAAGGGCTTGTTAAGTAGCGGGTCAGTGCGCCCATAACCCCCCAGGCCAACGTGCCTGTAACCCTTCCGTAGGATCAATCGGGGATCACCAGTGGACCTCTGACACCCCCCCGCACTGGGATGCCCGAAGTGCATACACCGGGATTCGAACCCGAGACCTTCGCTCTGATACCATGTCAAGATAGTAGGTAATAGAGAGTAGAAACGTGGGGCCTAGGCTTAGTAGCCTAGGCCCTAACTTAGTATCGAGCGGGTTTTCCCCTAGGGTGAGAGTCGAGTGAGTTGAGAGGAAAATTGTGAAAAGGTGGTTTTCACTATAGGTTCAGGGGTACATATAGCATAGAAACACAATAAGGTGCACCACCAACAAAAGTTTACATAACTACACTAACTACAACTACAAGCAATTATAAAACATGACAAAATATTTCGACACGCCCCCATAATGCTTGTAGGTAGGTGTGTAGTTACAGCAACAGCAGGTACCCCTACCATCTCCTCACCCTCCTCCTTCCCCTCCCCAACACTGCTGCAGAAGCAGCAGAGAAAGGGGGGAAAGAGGAAAGGTGGAGGGACGGCTGCTTGTTGCCTCACCCCCGCCAACCCGGTACCACCCCCCCCCCTCACCCACATCCTCACACCCTCCTCCCCCAGCGGCAGCTGCAGCGGTGGGACTGAAAGAAGGAGGAGGGAAAGGGAGAGAGTTGACCCCACGCTCCAACACCCTCCACCCCCATACCCTCCTCCCCACGGCTGCAGGGAGACAAGAGAAAGGGGGGGGTGGGAAGGAAGAAAGCCGCAGAGCGGCGAAGAGGCGTCGGTGCAGATGGGTCAGGGGCGGCAGCAGGGAGTGCAGGGGCGGAGAGGCCCGTCGCGGGCCAGTGCCACGGGGCGCACGACGGGTAGGATAAAAGGGCCCGATCGTGTGCCTCGGGGCGCACGACGAGCAGGGCACCATCGTGTGCCTCGGGGCGTACGATGGGCAGATAAAGGGCACCGTCGCGTGCCACGGGGCGCGCGACGGGCAGGATAGGAGTCACACGCCCGTGGGCGGGACAAGGTAAAACTAAAATCGTCACGCGCCCTAGGCGCGCGACCGGAAAATCTCAGCAGCGGAAGAGTAACGCGGGCCCACAGGCCAGGACGAAAACAGCTCCGATACCATGTCAGAATCCCAACCACAAGACCATTGGGATAAAAGGGCTTGTTAAGTAGCGGGTCAGTGCGCCCATAACCCCCCAGGCCAACGTGCCTGTAACCCTTCCGTAGGATCAATCGGGGATCACCAGTGGACCTCTGACAGTACCCCATATGGGCTACCCCACTACAGCCTACACAAAAGCATAAGCTATAATGTTCTGACACACCCCCATAGGCAAAGTGGGGGAGAACAAGCGGTCACAAGACCAGTCAAGCAAAGCAAAGCAAAGCAAGCGCAGGGTGGATCACAAAGTCACCACACATTCCGAGCACAAGTTCAAGGCCACAAGGCCAGTTCACATGCATGAGTACATATATATAGAAAGCTAGACAAGCAAGAGCAGGTGTATATATATGTAACAGTACAAGCAAGGTCAAAAGGTGAGCAAGTGAGGCAAGACAGGCACAAGACCAAGCTGAGTACAGAAGCGCTGATGATCACAAGGCGCAAGTGCCTTGGTGAAAACATCAGCAGTGTTGGCCTCAAAGGCCACGTACGCAAGTTGCAACTGACCACGCTGCTGCAACTCACGAGCAAGAAAGTAGCAAAGAGCAATGTGCTTCGTTCTGTGTTCCAGGCGCTGCTCCCGACACAAGGCTAGCATGGCCTTGTTGTCTACGTACAGGACTCGAGGAGAACGAGGCGGCTCTCCGAGGTCAGTCAGCAGGTAGGTAAGCCAGCAAAGCTCCTGTGCAGCCATGGCCCCGACGTAGATCTCAGCCTCACAACTGGAGCCGAGAACAGAAGACGAGCGAGTAGCCCGCCACGAAGTAGAGCCGGAACCAAGGCTGAAGGTGTAACCCTGTGACGAACGCTGCGTAGCCTGGTCGTCTGCCCAAGAAGCGTCCGCGTGCCTAGTGAGGACCACTGGACTCCGCCCTCCAAGCACTAGCCCCATGCCCGACGTACTGCACAAGTAGCGCAACACCCTCTTCGCTGCAGCCATGTGCTCTGGTCTGTGTCTCCCAGGAGCAACATAGCGTGCAAGAATGCTAAGAGGGTATGCAAGGTCAGGTCGTGTGCAGGTCATCAGGTACATGAGGCAGCCAACAAGCTCTGGGTACGGGCCACTCGACTCTACGGACTCATCCGAAGGCAGAGCTGAGAGTGAGTGGCGAGTAGACAGAGGAGTGGCCTGAGGCGAGGAGTACGTGAAGCCGAAGCGCTGAAGGACCTGCTGCACCATGTGTG